CCCCAAAACCCCAAAACCCCAAAACCCCAAAACCCCAATAATGTGATAAAAGTTGGAGATTTTAGAGGATATATTATAACTAAATGATTCTGAATAGTCCAAGTTTAGGTTTGGAATTAATTATCTCTGAGTTAACTCTTTGTCTATAGGTATCTTACTAGCTGTGGTATCAATCATATGTTCATCTGCAATTCTTCCATCAATGAACTCATACAAAGGTGTATCTGTGGCAATGATGGGACTCTGGAGGAGCCAGCTCTCGTGTATATATTGCATACCAATAACTTGGTATTTACTTCGAAAGCTTCCAAAGATTGATGCAAAGGTGTTTACCTGGACTACAGTCGCAGAGATTGTAGCTGGGTCAACACTCTTTTGCTGCGCATCAACAATGTTTTTATTCAGTTCAAAATTCACTCTCTACTCTCACACAATGGTATTGGCTAATTCAGGAGGAGTTTTTCTGATTATAATAAATGTTTTAAGGCTTCTCCCAGTCAATAGATTAGAGGTTATTGGCACTATTGCAGTCATTATTGGCATTATCTCCTTGATAAACGATTCTAAATCTACTAAAGGGGAAGGTGAGACGAACGTCCTACTAGGAGATATTTTGGCTTTACTCTCGATGCCGCTTTTTACGATGGCCTACTTTTACAATGCTAGGGCTATCAAGAACCTGCCTTCTCTTGTTGTATTTCATTGCTTTAGTGCGGTCCATCTTGTCCTGTACATGCTATACCTGCTTATATCGAGCAACAGCTGCATGAAAGTTTTGTTCTCGAGAGATGACGTAAGCGGTATGTTTGGTTGGAGTAACTCAGAACATATCCTGCTTTCTCTCTTCATAATAGGTCCAATCTGAGGAGTGATAGGACTTGGATGCTATGTGTTTTTGCTCGATTTCTTCCCTCCTCATATTGTGAATGGAGTGTTTTTAATGGAGCCTTTTACAGGACAACTTATTGGATGTATCTTAGGTCAGGATGATTTGCCGTCAGCTTTCACATACATTGGAGCCTTCTTTGTAACTCTTGGGCTCGGACTCTCAATTTTTGGCGATATCAAGAAATCTCAGTCAGATAATGGAAACACAAAGACCAAATTAGAGATTGAACTTTCTGATAACTCTTTGTTATAAATTCTAGAAGCCAAATTCTGACGTCGGGTATAATACTTCTCAACGAGAATATTAGTAAAAGGGGTTTTGGGGTTTTGGGGTTTTGGGGTTTTGGGG